GCACTGCCTTTCGCGGGCCGGTGTAGGGGGTTTGCCAACCGCCACTTCATTTCAGGGTTGGGTTTTGCCACCTGCGATTTGTCTTTTTGTTGGTTTGGCGTTTGCTCCGACAGCCTCTTTTGCGTTTAGGCCTTGCCAACCAATAAGATATTCTTTACACACACTGGGCCACCGAGACGAAAGCATCAAACGACGGAGAGGACATTCTTTGAGGGATTGTGGTTTGCCAACCAACGTCTCCGTCTAAGGTTGGGGTGTGCCAACAGTTTGATTTATCTTTTCGGCTTTCAGATTGGTTGTCCAGCGATCGCCTTCCGCAGGAAGTGCAGGTGTTGTAGGTCTGTTTGCTTTGGTTTCAGTGCTCACCAGTGGCCATCAGACCCGGTGCACAGCAGCGGATGCCTGCATCCGCATGCACTGAGAGGGAGGTGTGTATCTTTTCGGGTTTGGGGTTTGCCGCCTGTGATCTTCTGTTTTTGCCAGCCATGATCTTCCCTTATGGTGCAGGGGTAGCGTTTTCCACCTGCGATCTTCTTCCAGTGTTGGTGGCTTGCTAACCAACATCTCCTGTCGAGTTTTATTTAAAGCTTGCGTACCATTTTTTCGTTTGAGTTTGGGGGTTGACCATCTGCGAGTTGTTTTAAGGGCTTGGGCTTTGTCAAGCCGTGTTCCTTGTTCAGGGTCTAAGGTTTGCCAACCGCGATTTTCTGTCAGGGGTTTGGGTTTTATCACCCACGACCTTTTAGAATCTGGGGGCTGCCAACCAACATTTGACATGCCCTTTCGATTAGGGCTTGCAAGCAAAGCAGTGCATTTTTCTTTGCAGGTTTGGGGTTTGCCAGCCGACGTTCCTACTTGGGTCTTGGGTATGCCAATGTTCTTCCAGGGATCTTGTTTTCGGTTTGGAAGTTTGCCACCTGGGAACTTCTTGCAGGGTTTGGAGTTTAACCCTTTTAGGGTTTGCATTTTGCTACCCACGATCTTGTTTTAGGCTTCGAGGTTTGGCACCCACCATCTTCCCGTAGGGTGTGGGGTTTGCCGGTTGAGAACCGTTGAGCATTATATGAAATTATATGGTTTGCAGAACAGCACGATCCGCGATCTTCTTTCGGGATTTACGGTTTTCCACCCGCGAGCTTCTTTCAGTGCTCATGGTTTGCCAACCAGCACGTTTGAGGTTGAGACTTTGCCAGCCAATATCTTCTTGTTCGAGGGTTCGGGGTTTGCCATGGCAGCTGCGATCTTCTTTTAGGGTCTGGGGTTTGCCAACGAACATGGCCTTCTCAGGCTCAGTAGGTTTTGTCGCCCCGGTTTCAGCGGGCTTGCCATCGGCGATGTTGTTGAGGCCAAGGGGTTTGCCATCTCTTGTTTTTTAGGGTTTAGGGTTTGCCACCCGCGATCTTCTGTTCGGGCTTGGGTTGGGGGTTTGTCTTTCAGGGTCTGGGTGTGCCGACCAAGATCTCACAGTCGATTTCGGGTCTGGGGTTTGCCGACCACGATCTTCACAGATTAGGGTGTTCCACCCGTGTTCTTCTTTCAACGTTTGTGGTTCCAATCTCTGTTTAGGGCTTAGGGTTTGGCGACCGCGATCTTTTTTTTTTTGGTGTTTGGGGTTTTGCCACAGCCTTCGTTTAGGGTCTCGGGTCTTCCAACAACATGTATTTCACGTTTCCTTTCAAATTTTCGGCAATAGATGATTCTTTTCGGGGTAACAAATCAAAGTTTCTTCGGCTTCGGAGTTTGCCACCCGCGAACTTCTTGGAGATGTTGAGGTTTGCCACCCAGGATTCTTTGACGGCTTGCGGCTTGAAGCCCACGATCCTCTTTCAGGGTTTGCCCGTTGCCAACCACAAGAGGGTCCAGAATTTGTTGCAACGATCTTCGCTTACATAGGGCGTGGGGTTTGCCAACCAGCATCTCCGTTTGAGCATCATGTGCTTTGCCAAGCAACCGCGATCTTCTTTCAGTTTGGGTATTGCACGGTCTTGTTTTAGGCGATGGGGTTTGTCAACGAGCATCTCCTTTTAAGGTTTAGTGTTTGCCAAGTGCAATCTTCTTTTGAGTTTTAGATTTAGGGTGTTGTATTTGCCACCCCCCCCTCGATGTTTAGGGTTTAGGGTTTGCCAACCGCGATATTCTGTTGGGGTTTGGGTTTTTGCTTCTGTCACCCACGAACCTCGTTTAGCGTCTCGGGTCTGCCAATTTTGGCTTCAGGGTTTGCAGGTTGCAACCGCGATCTTCTTTCAGTGCTGGTGGTTTCTCAACCAAGGTCGCCCGTTAAGCTTTGGGGTTTGCCAGCCATAATTTTATTGCTTTACGACTTTAGGGATTGGTGTTCCTCCGTTTCCTTTCTTCTTCACGGGTACAATAGGCCTGGATGCAAAGGGATTGGTGTTCGCCACCCTCGATATTTTTGTAGGGATTAGCTTCCCAAATCTTGTCTGTCTTCATTCAGGGGCTGCCAACCGCGATATTCTGTTGGGGTTTGGGGTTTGTCACCCACGACCAGTTCAAGGTCTGGGTCTGCCAACCAACATGTCACGCTTCCTTTGAAGATTTCGGGGCTGCAAAGCTGCCAACCAGCATTAATTTCCCTCTAAGTTTGAGGGTATGCCAACCGATAGCAGTTCCTGCTAGGGTTGGGAGCGTTCCCCCGGTGTCCAGCCGGAGCGGGGACCAGTCCAAAATGCAAGCACACGAAGTCGCCCTGTTTTTTCGAACTACATCCCGAACCGAAAACCGTCTATGTCGCAGAAAGTGCCAGGAAAGGCCACAGATTAATCAGCAGGGAGCAGGGCTGGTGCAGAACTCAACAAAGATCCGATCCACGTCGTTTTACAACACCTGGAGCGCTTTAGCCAAGTTGTCGCTGCAGTTGCTGGAGGACGCAGTGAATAGCGGAAGTGTCGTGCTGCCTACGTCAGCCCTGAGACAGGTCACGATGAGGCGCTGGAATCGGCAGAGATTGCCTCGCAGCGCTGTGTGAAGTCTGCGATGTCGGAAATGAACGCATCCGACACTTTGGCCTTGAAGCTGCCGTGACTGCCGGTCACATACTTGTAGCTCGCTTTTGTTGATACTCTTGGCATCAGAGGTAATGACGGCGGAGGCCCGAGCACAGCAGCAGTGCGCGAGGCGCCGTTATGCTGTGAATGGCCATTGAATGCAGCACAGAAAAAGCTTTCGGTCTCCAGGTGAGCCTTTTGCCCTTGCAGGCTTCGAGGTGAGCTGGAGGTTGCCGAAGCTGCTGCGGAGGCAAGTTCAACATTGCAAGCACTTCCGGCTGAGATGCTTCTCCATCGGTCTTGGTCTTGCAGGACATTTGGCGCCGAAGCTCAAACGAAATTGCACGCCGCTTGCATGAGTCAAGGCCCCTGTTCCAGCATGGAA